TACTTCTTTCTTGCCAATGTGGATACCTTTCTTTTCTTTCCTAGACTTACTGTACTAACTAGAACCTCAAGTACAATGTTACATGGAAGTAGTAAAAACAGACAACCCTGCATTGTTCCTGATCTTGAGGGAAAACAGTCTTTCACAATTAAGTATCGTGTTAAATATAGTTTTTTCATAGGTATACCTTTTCAGAATAAGGAAATACTTCTATTCCTAGTTTGATGAGAATTTTGATCAAGAATGAATGTCAAAAGCTTTTCCAAACCTCTTGAGATAACCATATGATTTTCCTTTTTGTTCTGTTAATATACTGAATTACACTGATTTCCATTTGTAAGATAAAGCCATATCGTTGTTTTCATTGTGAAAATTTAAGACTTTTTGCATCTGTGTTTGTAAGGCATATTGGTTTATAGTTTTATTTTCTTAAAATGTCTCTACCCTGCTTTTAACAAGGCAATGCTGTCCTCACAAAATGAATTGGAAAGAATATCCTGCTCTCCAACTTACTGGAACAGTATATAAAGAACTGGCTTGATTTATTTCTCAAATGTCTGGCAGAATTCAAAAGTGAAATCATCTGAGCCTGTAGGTTTCTTTGTGGGAAGGTTTATAATTACAAATTTGATTTCTTCAGATAATAGGACTATTTAGGTTATCTGTTTCTTCTTGAGTAAGCTTCAGTAGTTTGCTAGTTTCAAGGAATTTGTGCATTTCTTCAAAAGTTGTTGAATTTATTGGCAGAAACTTACTTGTAATATTTGTTATCTCCTTTCCAGTTTTTTATGTCTAAAAAGGTCTTTATTTTGTCTTGCCTGGGGACAAAATTCTAGGTTGCTGGTTGCTGCATTTTTTCCCCCTTTGAGTACTTTAAAGCTCTTGCTTCATTGTCTTCTCCCTAGCAAAGGAGGCATTCCTTTATGTATTTTTTTTCCTCTGTTGCTTTTAACATTTTCTTTATCACTAACTTTAAGCAATTTGATTACTACATGCTCCAGTGCAGTTTTTGCACTTGGGTTTACTGAATTCTCAGAACTATGGTTTTAACAGTTTTCACCAAATTAAGGAAAGCTTCAGCTGTTATTTCTTCATCTCTTCTTTTAGTCAAACCTCCTCTTTCGAAGACTCCAATTACTTGGATGTTAGCCACCTGAACATAAACCACGGCTCACTTATGCTCGTGTTTTTTTACCCCCAGAGCTTTCCTCTATGTTCATTTTGGCTAGTTTCTACTGCTATGTCTTCATTAGTCTTTCCTTCAGCAACATGTAACTGTAATTAATTCCATGAAGTGTATTTCATCTTAAATATTGTAATTTTCATTTCTAGAAATTTGATTTAGATACCTCTTTAATCTTCCATGTCCTCTATTTAACTTGTTCAATCTTTCCTCTAGCTCAGGGATCGCAATACAGTTTATAAACCAAATCTGATGCAACCCTCTTTGTGACAAAAATTGTACTCCAGTGTACAGACATGTCCATTGGGTTACACGTGGTCTATGGCTGCTTTTTTACAAGAGTTGAGTAACTATAGCAGAGGCTACATGGACCACAAAACTAAAATATTTAGCATCTGACCCTTTAACAAAAAAATAGGTGAACTCCTGATGTTAGCATATCGAACATACAGAAGACAGATATAATAACTGCTTTAATGTCTTTGATTCCATCATGTATGTCATTTCTGGGTTGGTTTTGAGTTTTCTCCTCATACGGATCATATTTTCCTGCTTCTTTGTATGACTGGTGTATTTTGATTAGATGTTAAGACTCAGTAAATCTTAGAGTATTTGATACTTTCTATTCCTGCAAATATTCTTGAGCTTTGTTCTGGTATACATTTAAGTTACTTGGAAAGAATCTGATCCTTCCAATCTCATTTTTAAGTTTTGTTAGGTAAACCCAGAGCAGCATTAGTGGCCAAATTTTGCACCACTACTAACGGAAAACCCTTCTGTGTAGTAGTACTCTAGCAGATGCATCGTGAAGTATAATATTTTTCCACTTTAGCTACTGGGAACAGGCAGTTTGTAGTATGAGCTTCGGGAAATTTTTTCTCTAATTCTTCAACTTGGTTTTTAATCCCCAGCCTTGGGTAGTTTCCCAACACATGTGTGCTGATCAATACTCAGCTGAAGACAAGAGAGGACCTTCTGCAGATCTCTGGATCTCTTTCCTCTCCAGCTCTCTGACCTGGGAACTTTAGCCACCTTGAACCCCTAGATACCTAGCTCCATCTCTTCAGCTCAAGGTGCTTACCAGGCTCCACCTGGATTCCTCCTCCCTATGTCATGTCCTAGAAACTCTCTAGGTACTAAGCTAGGGTAATTGTGGAGCTCACCTCATTTGTTTCCTGTCTCTCAAGGATCACTGTCCTTTCTTGCCTGCCATCCATTATCTTGAAAACTGTTATTTTATATATTTTGTCCAGGTTTATAGCAGTTTCAGTTTGGAGAGTAATTCCAGTTCCTGTTACTCCATCTTGGCCAAAAGCAGGAGACTTAAAACCTCCTAAAATTTTCCAAGCAGGGAAAATTGCTTAAAGCATAAATGGAAAATCATGATAAACAGGACCTAATTATATTACTGTATATATTTAAGGAAAGGACAATTTCCTTATGATTTTTATTACCACCACATTGATCGCTATTTTTACAGAGGTATCCATTAAAAGCAAGTAATTTGTTCATCAAAATATATTTTATGGTTAGGAGTCATTCCATAACCAATATATTACTACTGGTAATAAAATAAAAATATCTATTAAATTGTAACTTTCAAAATGTCTACACATGTGCTTAGAATTTCTTCAAGATATTTACAAACACGTAATTGTATTTAATGTCTTTAGAAATCTTTTTAAATTTAAGTAATTTCAGACTTACAGGAAAGTGGCAAAAGTAGTACAAAGAACTCCTAGTCCCTTTCCTCCAGACTCCCTAAATATCAGTATTTTACCGTATTTTTGTTTTGAAACTAATGCATTAAGAGCTCATTGTAGACATAAAGCCCTTATAACCCAAAATACTTCAGTGTTAATTTCCTAAAAACAAAGACATGCTCTTAAACAAGCATAATGCAATTATCACTGATACAAATACTTGTATATACAGATTTTATTCAAATGTGCCAACAGTCCCACAAACATCCTTTATGTCCTTTATTTGGGGGGTGGAAGGCAGTGTTGAGAAACTAATGCTCCTGGACCAAATCAGGATAGCCACCAGTTTTTGTAAATTAAGTTGAGCTGGAATACAGACATACCATTCACTTATGTATTGATATCTATGGCTGATTTGGGGATATAAAAACTGAAAGGAGAAGTCACAATAGCCTCAGTATGGACCAAAAAGTCTAACATGTTTATTATCTGGCCAATTATAGAAAACATTTGCTAACTCCAGCTTTAAAACAAAAGAAAAATTCTTCTTGACCCAGGATTTAGTTGAATTTAGGTGTCATGTCTTTTTGGTCTTCATTAATCTGCTATTTCTCAGTCTTTGTTTTTCATGATCCTGGTAAGTTTGAAGATCAAATGCTGTTTATTTTATAGAATGTCTCTCATTTGTATCTGTTTGGTGTTTTCTTATGCTTAGATTTAGCTTATGCATTTTTGGCTAGAACATCACAAAAATGACATTGTGTCATCCTCCTCAGGATGCACGTGATGTTTATTTGTCCATTACTAGTGATGTTAATTTAGATCACTTCATTAAGGTAGTGTCTGCCAAGTTTCTTCACTGTCATGTTACTATTGTTCACTTTATAATTAACACATACTTTGTGAGGATATGCTTAGAGACAAAGTAACTATTTGTTTCTCATCAGACTTTAAGCCAATAGTTTAAGCATTCACTGATGATTTTTGCCTGAAACAATTATCACTGTAGTGGTTACCAAAGTGTAATTTTCCTAGTTCCATCATTCCGTCTATGTTTATTAGGTGGAATTCTGCTGTAAGAAAAAGAATTCCTCTTCCTCTACTACAGGATCATTTCTTTAACTCAGTGTAGACTTTTAAACTCTATTTTATTCTATTGGCTCTTATCTATTATTATCATTATTTATTTTGAGGATTAAAGTGTCCATGATTTGGCTAAAGGGAACCTCTTCAAACTGGTTCCCTTTCTGTGTCCTCCTGGCATGTCCCCATCATTCTTTGTGTGCAACAGCTTTTTAATAATAACAATAATATGGAAATAACCCCAGTGGTCATCAGTGTGAAATATTAAAGTAGTGTGAAGGCAATGAAAAACTATGGAGACATGAAAGAGAACAAAGTAGAAGATGTACAGTAAGTGGAGTTAAAAGGTCCAGAACAATGATAGAGTATGATGCCAGACAAGAAAGATTAAAAAAAAAAAAAAAAAAGACAAGCATATGCTTATATACACACGTAATTTTCTTGAAAGATACTAAGCATACAGGATTAACATTAACTCTAGGATGTAACTGTGCAACTAGGTGTCCTACCTTTTATTTTACAACTGCTGATTGCTGAAAAATTTAAAAATCATTTTCAAGACTAATACTTTCAATTAACATTTGTAATTAAAATGTATATTGTAAATTAGAACACAATGTAATATTTCCTTAAAAGTGAGTAAAATCTTATATTTTCTTTAAAATTCTTTTCTAAAGCATTTATTAAATATCCTCAGGTGCTACCTATAATCAATAAATTGTGACTAGCTAAATGCAGCTAGATTGGCTAGATGTAGGAAGCTATCTTTACATTGTCACCCTTGTTATATTAACTATATAATACTCAAGATTCTTGAAAGTTTTTACCTTCCCCTTTGAACTATATCCTATTATATCCTCTTTTTGGTGAGGTAGGGGAGGGAGGATGTGGGGGAAGGATGGGAATAAGCTTATGATCTAGATCCCAGTATTTGAATAACTTCTTTTCAAGAGCACCTAATACAGTTTTTAAGATGACAGGATCTGATATTTCCATGAAAGGTTTGTGTGAAAGACTAATACAATGCTTACCTAGTGAGTCGTTTAGGTGGAGGCCGCTCACCAAATTTTCTGGAAAAAATAAGAAAAAAAATAAATATATAGGCTGTACAACACATTCCGTAGTAAGCTTTTTAGGCACCATGAAATTTCCTTTATGACTTATATTTCAACTCTACTAAAGAACAGCATAAAGGAAAATCCTCTAGTAACCATTCATGCCCAGAAATAACAAAATATGTACTTTAAAAATAGTTCCTAAACAAAAAACGCACCCTAAATAGGCCTTACACACCCACTCTGAGCATGCAGCACAATGATTAGACGAGGGTGACAGGTACCTCCTAGAGACACATTGCAAAAAGCAAACAAACAAAACCCAACAATGACAACAACTAATCAAAGACCCCCAGTCTCACACAACCTGCAACACTCAGAAAAATCCTCAAAGCCCAAGAGGTGGCATAGAGTTTAGTTTGCCATGTGCCAGGAACTTTGCTGTACATTCTTTATACCTTACCATCTTTAATCATTACAAAACAATTCTGTGAAGTACATAACGGCTCTCATTTTAAAAAGGTAGAACGCAACTTGCCCACAAAGTAAATTAAGTGGCAGGCAGAGTTGAAATTTAAACCTAGATGTTGACAAATATTATCAAAGTTTGTATGGAACGACTGAAGACCCAAAATAGCTAAAGTAATCTTGAAAAAGAAGAACAAAGCTGGAGGTATCACCATTCCAGGTTTCAAGGTATATTACAAAGCTGTAGTAATCAAAACAGTTAGGCACTAGCACAAAAACATGATCATAGATCAATGGAACAGAACAGAAAACCCAGAAATAAACCCATGCTTATATGGTCAATTAATTTATGACAAAGGAAGCAAGAATATACTACGGAGAAAAGAGTCTCTTCAATAAATAGTGTTGGGAACACTGGACTACTACATGCAAAAGAATGAAACTGGACTATTTTTTAATATTATAGATAAAAATAAACTCAAAATGGATTAAAGACCTAAATGGGAGACCTGAAACCATAAAAATCCTAGAAGAGAACACGGGTAGTAACATCTCTTCATTGGAAAACAACATTTTTTTAGGTAGGCCTCCCAAGAAAGGGGAAGCAAAAGCAAAAATGAACTATTGTGACCACATCAAAATAAAATGCTTGTGCACAGCAAAGGAAACCATCAACAAAACAAAAAAGGCAACATGATGAATTAAAAATTAAAAATAGAGGGGTGCCCGGGTGGCTCAGATGGTTGCGTGTCTGCTGTCGGTCGGCTCAGGTCCTGATCCCAGGGTCCTGGGATCAAGCCCTGCATCGGGCTCCCTGCTCGGCGGGGAGTCTGCTTCTCCCTCTCCCTCTGCCAGTCCCTCCACTTGTGGTCTCTGGCTCTCTCTGTCAAATAAATAAATAAAATCTTTAAAAAAAATTAAAAACAGAAATTCCTCATGACCCAATAATTCCACTACTGGGTACCTACCCAAAGAAAATGAAAACACTAATTCAAAATGATATAAGCACCCTTATGTCTATTGCGGCAATACTTGCAATAGCCACGGCATCAAGCAACCTAACTGCTGACAGACAAACAGATAAAATATGGTGTGTACACACACACACAGGAATATTACACAGACATAAAAAAGGGAGATCTTGCCATTTGAGAAAACATAGATGAACCTAGAGGGTATTATGCTAACTGAAATAAATCAGACTGAGAAAGACAACACCCCTATGATGTCACTCATATGTGAAACCTAAAAACAAAACAAATAAACAGAATCAGACCTATAAATATAGAGAAAACTGATGCTTGACAGAGGGAAGGGGTATGGGCGGGGGGAATAGGCAAAATGGGTAAAGGGGAGAGGGAGATACAGGCTTCCAGTTATGGAATGAGTAAGTCATGGGAATAAAAGGCACAGCATAGGGAATATAGTCAATGATACTGTAATAGTGTTGTATGCTATCAGAGTGTAGCTACACTTGTGAGTTCAGCGTAACACAGAGAGAAGTTGAATCACTATACTGTACACCTGAAACTAGTGTAACCTTGTGTCAACTATATGAAAAATCCTAAATGTTGTCTACTTAGCTAGCTCATACTGTATGGCCCTTCAGAAAGAAATATGCTAAGTGGACAAAAAAGCATTTCAACTGGTTGTAAGAGGGCAAAGAGAAAAGCCTGAGCAAGGACAAGAAAGCACAATTCAGGCTTGAGTTAGAAGACAGCATGAAGGTTAAGAAAAATGCTCTAGAGTAAGATCGGCCAAGTTCAAATCCATGATTCAGATCATGCCATAGGACTGATGTTACTTGACTCCCTAGACTTCAGTTTCCTCATGTGTAAAATGAGCACGGTGACTGTGTTTACCTCAGAGAGGTACTGAAGGGATTAAATGTGTCAATATGTAGAAAACACGTAGAACAGTGCCTGGTACACAGTAAGAGCTCAACAAATGTTAGTAGTTATTACTGTATTTTAGTTATAAATCAGTAAGCCAAAATTATGAAATAAAGGAATTAAGTGGGATGCTAACAAGGATAAGTACAGAGGAAGAAGAAACTAATTCCTATGTGATGCCCTATTTCCTCTGAAATAGGAAATGAGGTCTTTGGAGAGATGGTGAAAGCACAACCCTTGGAAAAGGATCAACAGAATTTTGTTTGTTTTCTTTTTTAAGCAGATTGCAGTTATAAACAGGTTAAATGACTTGTTCAGTCACAGTTACAGGTTGTGAAGCCTAATTTGACTTAAGACTTCTCCACTGTATTTGATGTCCCACAAAATTATCAACTTTGATGATAAAAGTCTTAGAATCCAATGCAGTTCATTTTGTTGTGTAACTTAATGCTATATGACATTGTTTATGAACTCACAATTTATAAACAGTGGGTATCTGTGACTATGAATATTTCTGTTAACCCTGAAATACTAAAAAGTGACTTATTTGAAATAGCCTAAGAATATGGGTAAATAATCCAAGCTTTTGTTGGAAGAATTATTTATTAATTTTTTGATTTTACCCTATAGGATATTAAATTTTAAAAGCCAAGAAACAAGAAACACTATGTTTTGGTAGGAACATGAGCAAGGCCACTGAAGACCATTGGTTTTAAAACACTAAACTACTGGAAAATCTGTGGAATTCGGTTATGGAATTAAAGGCAAAAATCTATTCCTGAATCTTTTTCCACAGGAAAGAAATTTTTTGAACCTCTGAAGCTGATTAAATGTACCATTACAGCATGTGACTAAAATGTAACTGCCTCACTAGGTTAGATGTAATGTACAAAAAAACCAAGAAGTTTAAGACAGCCTTTAAAATACTTCTTTGTATATATATGTAAGAGCACAGTTATACATTTTTTCTAATTGTATTTTATTATGTATGTTGATCACCATACATCATTAGTTTGCAATGCAGTGTTCCATGATTCATTGTTTGCATATAACACCCAGTGCTCCATGCAGTATGTGCCCTCTTTAATACCCATCACCAGGCTAACCCAACCCCTCACCCCCCCACCTCTTTATAAAAAAGAAGCAAAGTGAGACATGGCCAGAACCTACTCAAGGGGTTAAAATGGTGAAAATTTCAGAGAGATGTAGTTAACAGATGAAATAAAGCTTTTCAACGAAGATCATGACACGGTACTCTTTGTACTAACTACTAATATTCTAATCATCAAGCACCCTTTGAGATCTAACATAAGTTTCTTACAGGACTAGTAAGAGATCCACTGCACTCAATTGAAATGGTTTGTTTCTTGGTGCTCTGAAATGCTTTCAAAATTAGATTAACAACTAAATGTTGACTAAAGTATCTGTCTCTCTTTTTAGAAATACCTGTTAATGAAGTGAACAATTACAGAGCATGCCCGTGCAGTATAGCTCCTGCCCCCATAGAAAACATGTGCAAGAGAACTCAACAGTGAGCATGCCGAGCTTGAACAGCACTTAAAATTCAGCATCATTCTATCTAGGTGCCATCCTAAGGCTAGGTATCTTACAAATGTTAATAAGATTAAATTGCTTCTTCATTATATAATAAAGCATCTCCAATAACTGCTGTGTGCCATCCCAGTCCTTTCTTTAATGAATATGTGATCACAGTCCTATTTATCTCATTAAAACTAATGGTTACTGTATCTACTACAATGGGGGAAGAGTAAGAAAAGGAGTTTTCTGAGAAAAGTCATGAAATGCTTTAGTAAGTTCACAATGCAAAATTCTGAAGGCTGCAATTAAACTAAATTCTAATTATTTAATAAAATTCACAGGTCTACATACTTGAAAATGTCAAGTTATAACAAGGTATTGTATGGATCCTGCACTTAACAAGATCCATTTTCACTACTAATCTGATATACAACTAATACATAAAACTTCAAGAATTATCTACTGCAAAAAGGTTCATCTTTAAACATGAATGACTCAAAATTCATGATGTAACATTTATATCATGTATTCAAAATACTCACTTTTCAGCAGAAATGACTATAGTCCATTATCAATTTCTCAGAGATTGATTATAATTTAAACATTAAGCTCTGTCTCTCCCTCTTCCAACAGGGAATGGTGGGATAGGCAGGCACAGATTTTATATCATTATTTGCAATCTATCTGAAAAACAAGGTGTCTACTGACATGATCTGTGTTAACAACTGAACCAGAAATAAGCTGGACCAACCAATTTTAGACCACTCTTACCTAAGATGCTTTTCATATAAGGTTTATGGTGTATTTAACAATAAAAAATAATCTAAATCTTTAAGTACCCAAAGGATGGTTTTAATTTTACAAAATACTGAGTTAATTCTTCATCGTAACAAAAAATATAAGGTTGTAGGATCATTTGATAGTATAGGTTGTCATCTGCATCAAGTTCCTCATATTTTATGCATGCTGTATGATGTAAAATGTCATTCTGATTAAATGTAATAATCAATCCTGTTTATATTTAAGGAAAAAAGTTATGACTCTGGCTTTTCTTTTTAAGTACAAACAAAACTTAGCTTATACACAGCTGATTATACCCTAACGCATGTCCTTTCC